GCATCTTGCCTTCAATCGGTCTCAAATGTTCCCAGTTCTTAGCTGTGGCCTTAGTAGGGATGTGCTCTTCGGCGGGAATAGACATACTTGTAAAAGTGACCGGGATATGAATCTTGAAGTCAGAATTATATCCTCTTACTTGAAAAAGGCTTGAGACTCTTTGGCTGTCGACGAGTGAGTCTTGACTTCTGATAGTGCTCAATCAAAGCTTCGTTGGCTGTGTTTCTGCATCAAGTTTGTCGCAGGTTTCTTAGGATAAACGTAGCGTCGCTTTGCATGTCCAAAATTGCGTAAACCAATACTCCTTTGTCGGGCTTTGACAATGATGACAGCCACACAGCAACTATCATAGGGGTGTCGGTACTGGAGGCGCCTTGCGATGTACATGAAGTAGTCTTGCGAACATTGGCGGATTCCTGTTCTTCTCTTCTCTTCTTCTCTTCTGGCATCTTAGGATGTCTTTCCTCACGAAGACAGGTGGGGTGATTCTTGTTACAGGTCGCACAGGTCAGCCTCCTCTTACAATAAATAAATATAAATATATACAATCACTAGACATGTGCCCCTTCACCAGGCATCCAAAACAAAGCCTGTTTTCCTTGACAAAATTCAGTTTGTTTTTGTGTCTCTGCCTTAAACTTTATGCATGCATTCAACAGATGGTCAGTCTTTTTGCAGAATGAACATTGCAGTTGCAGCCTTGAGGTTGTTTGGCTCCTTTGAACTTTCTTGCATCGTCTTGGTGTTACGAACAGACCTTTTCTCTTCGTGTTTCAGTTTTGGTTCCTTGTGAGTGCTGTCTGTTGCCCTTTCCAACTCCTTCACAGCATGACAAGATGAAATAGGATTGCATAAGAGATCTGCTTCAGCACTGATGAAGGTTGTGAAGGTCTTGAAATCTGGATACTTCTTTTCTGCTTTCATTTTTCTTGTGGCTTCTCTGTTCCACCGTAAAACAACCCAGTCTGGCAATTTGGTGAGTAGCTTCTGGTTTTCAATGTAGTCATTCAAGACGTTTAGATTCTCGATTACTTGCATAGCAGTTTCCACACTTGTTAGGAAATCAGCAAATCTTCTAAGACCCTGGTGATCTTTCATACCGATCTTGGGCCATTTTCGTAGCTTGTCTCTGTACGCATTTGTTATTATGAACGGATGACCAAACCTCTCGTGTAGAATGTTCCACGCTCATTTGTGAGCTTCTGATGAACCTTGCAGGAAAAGTCTGTTAATGGCTTCTTTGGCAGATCCACTCACGTATTGCTTCAAGTAATACATCTTATCACTTGACGGTACGCTCTTTCGGTGTATGAGGGCATGAAAGGATGACTTCCAATTCGGATAAAGGATGAGCTCACTGCTGAAGATGGTCGGTTCAGGTGCTGGGAGGCGACTCGTGCTGAACGAATCAGCTATCGCTGTGACGATCAAGGTGGCAGTATCTACATTTGTTGATGACGCTTACGGTTGAACGTATATGGGATGGATGGTTTCACTTTCCATGGGAAATTGATGTGCGTCCCGAGGCTGTTGAGCGGGCTGCGCGGTTGAATTCAGGGTGTTTCTATCTGATGGTGAATGTTTGACTTCTAGAGGCAGAAGTGAGGACACTGCTTCTCTCTCAAGGTCTATCTGGATTGGAGAAGTGACCAAGGGATCATCTTCAACTGAGTCAATATCGCCCTCAAATTGTTGCACCTCTTGATACACCCTTAGCTTCGCTCTTGCTATTTCTATCTGTTTCTTGGCCTCCATTTGTTCCAACTCCACCTTTCTCTGCGCTAGTTCTGTTTCAATTCTTGCTGTGGCTTCCTTATGTTTTGCTTCTTCTTGTAGGGAGTTAAAGAAGGCTGATGCTGCTGCAGAGCTGGCTGTAAGGGAAGCGGAATTTAAGTTGATGAGAGGGGATGCCATTGAGAAACGATTGCTTCTTGATCGACCTGACCTTATGGATGCCTTGCTTGATGTACTTCACACACATCTTATATCTTCTTCGTTGCGTGACACAGCTGAATTGCCTCTAATAGATTTTCTTTCCGGTGTTTCAGTCAAGGTATCACATACGTCCATCTTCTGTCTAATTTCTTGTCTTGGGGCCTGATCGTTTCGTATTTTATCATATAACTTCTCAGTTTTGTTGCAGAGATCCTTCAAACAGAGAACTGCTTCTTCCTTTTCAGCTTTTTCTACTTGTGATGATGGCAACTGTTTAGCAACAAACGACTTGATATCTGTTGCTTGCATTTTCCACGTGTCGTACGCTTCGTGAAATTTCTTAATGAGCTCATCTTCATTCTTCTCATGCTCTCTTTGGCACTGCTCCTGATAGGCTTGGCCCTTCTTGGTGAGTGTTCGAACTCTAGTAATTCACGATTCAGGTTCCGACTGCTCTTGGACTATGTTTAGGCTATTTTTATCTAACAAGGCAGCAAGTTTATCAAGTCAACTTTCTTCTTATAGTCTGTGCTGGAGACCAGATGACTTTTTCAGGTTTGTTAATCTCTCAAATGTCATTGGTTCAATAACGCAAGATGTGAGTGTCTTTACTCTACTAATTGCAACGTATGATATTCCTGGAGTTTTTTCGTTTTTACCCATGTCTATCCACGCATTTGTTGGAGTCAATCCCTGGCTTTTGTGTATTGTCATTGCCCAGGAAAGTTTTAAAGGAAGTCGTTGCCTTTCATTCACATTACCCAATGTATCAGATATAACTGTTGTTGGACATATGGGTACGCATTGTTGTATGTTGTTACAAATTGTTGGGCCTGTATAGTCATCAAACTTGACAATAACAGCAATAGGCATGTCAGGGGGTTGCTGATTGGTAGCATATATGAAGTCGACAACAGTACCAGTTGCACCATTCACAGACCAACATCCGTCCACAAATTCATTGTAAGCATGACCTGTGCTCCTTTAGCAAGGAAAACAACAGGTTCTAGTCCTGACATTTCATCAGCACTGGCCTTTTTAGCCGCTTCAGTGGAGTGTCTAGCATTATTCCTTGCTATTGGTTGGTTCAGGGCAGATAACTTTTCAAAGTTGTATTTTGCAACTTCGTCTTACAGTGTCTTTAAATGCACTGATGTTGTCTACCATTGATGGTTGTCTAGTTAAGAGAAGTGTCCAGTCATTTTGAGTGCGATCCCCTGTGTGTAAAAGTCTGCATACGAGCTAAGTGGCCCATCAGGCCGGAGCTTATCCCGGTTTCTGTAGCATGAAGCGA